TCTCTCTCTCTCTCTCTCTCTCTCTCTCTCTCTCTCTCTCTCTCTCTCTCTCTCTCTCTCTCTCTCTCTCTCTCTTTTACACACACACACACACAAGCGTCCCATGAACATCGTTAATAGAGCACCAGCTGGAATCCCCCCCCCACACTCTTCGAGTTGTCTACAGCGAACATAGCAAAACATACGCACACCATAATCACTACCTCACCCTTCCCCAACCGCATCAACAAATGAACTACGGGCTGTGCACCTGTGCCCTCACGGTAAGTCAATCCCCATATGGGATCCCACCATCTCCAATTCCATATGGCCCCCGGGCACTGTAAGAAAACGTGCTCTATGGTCGCAGGGGGTGTCCGTGCGGGGAAGGCATTACAACATACCTTATGCCACGGCAGTGCCAGCCCCTTCTGCTCTTAAGGCGGGTCCTGTCGAATTATCCAATGCCTTGTGGGTGGGCACCGGTCGTCCACCTGGCATTGCAGGGACGTCAGTTTGGCGGGCTTCACCCTGATGGCCCTGAACCATTTGATTGGCCTTAGTGTAATGAAGCCTGCAGATTCTCAGTGGACTGTACATTGGGCCGAGGGCGAAGCTTGGGGTTTGCCTCGGTCGGGTTGCGTCTTAGGTTAGATTCGTAATTTTGTTTGGCTGAGGGCAACCGAGAGACCTGCCTGTAAGGAAATTCGGGAGGGACAGATTTGTAAATTCGGGAAAATATAGGCCTGTAACAGAATTCCCTACAGCTATCCTAACTGCGAATAGCAGGCCCGGGCTACCTCTAGGACAGACAGGCCCTAAGGGCCTAAGCTGATAGACGTTCGTATAGCCTATAGCCAGGTTGGGAGAGGCCCCAGAGGCCGAAACAGAATCGGTACCGGTCGGTCAGTCAGTCTGGTCTAGGTCGAGTCTAGGCTAGTTTAGTCTATAGATAGGATGACCACATCGGTTCAGGGCTTTTGGCAGTTGGTACCGGGTATATCGCTGCTGCCCTACGCGTGAACCGAAAGTGGTGACGGCTCAGCGTTGTGGGAGACAGATATAGCCAGACCTTCGGAGCGCGGGCCATACCTGGGACCTGCGTTGTACTCTGCCAGCACGCGGGGCTGTCAGAGGTTTCGAGGTCTGCTAGAGGCGAGAGAAGTTGGTGCCCTGCTGGACCCTCCTCCGGAGTGGGGTCACAGGGTTGTGGCGCTGCAGCCATAGCTGCAGCTTCTTCTTTCTTCCGCAGAAGTCATCTTGTCAGGATTTGGTGGCGCTGCTGCAGACTTCCATCCGCTGTCAGAGGTTTCGAGGTCTGCTAGAGGCGAGAGAAGTTGGTGCCCTGCTGGACCCTCCTCCGGAGTGGCGTCACAGGGTTGTGGCGCTGCAGCCATAGCTGCAGCTTCTTCCGCAGAAGTCATCTTGTCAGGATTTGGTGGCGCTGCTGCAGACTTCCATCCGGGAAGTCTTCCGACACTTCATCATCATCAGATAGTGTGGCGCTGGTCTTCTTCTTCATCCGCTTAGTGGTGCTTGGCCTCAGAGGCCTGTTTCATGGTGGCGCTTCCCTTTGGAGGCTGTACCTGGGTGGCCCTTGATGTTGCAGGGACTCAGGGGTAGTGATAGCGGTTCATCAGGGTTGGGGAGTGAAGCGCTGCTCATTTCTGAGCAGCGCACCATAGGTCTGGAGTTATTCTGACAATTCGAGACTCTGAATGTAATAAACAGTGTGATACTAGGTTTGGACTATCATCGTTTCATTGTTTCCTGTATGTGATCTACTCGGCTTTTCTTTATGACTGGTTCTGAGGATTGCGTGGAGTGAATTGCTCTTTCAGTGCACCCTGTCATATCACATGGTCAAGTCTTTCGCTGTGTTTATCTCTCCCTGTGCGGTGTGATACTCCTATCCTCTCCCCTTCCTTCTGTGTATGTATGGGCATACCTGGGAGCCTATGTGAGTGAGTGTTGGTCTTCAGACAACAGACAACCAGAATCATAACATTAGCGTCTCCGTGCTTACGTTCGGGTGCCTCATCCAACGGTCTTCTACCTGGTCTCTGAGGTTGGTCCTTGGTCCGAGCAATGCGGTAGACCGACTTGACTGTGATGGCGTGCAGAAATGGAGCGAGCGCATGTTTTTCCCCTCTCCAGTGGGGTGGTCCAGCACCACTTGCCAGGACCGTAGGGGAGTTGGGAAAGTGGGGTCTCTGGCCGGGCTACTGTTTTTTTTTCCTTCGTCTTTCGAGCAGCACCCTGATCTGAAAGGTGTTGGCCTGTGGCACCCAGCGTGTGTCATCCTGGGCATATCTGGTGAGCCTGTGGTCGCAGGTAACTTTGAAAGAGGGATAGCACCACTTGCACTTGCTCTTAAAGAGGGATAGCAGCACTTGCCCTTGCTCTTACCTTTTCCAAACATGTGCATGAATCGGGAAAGAAAACACGGTACTGGTGATCCTAAACCGCCAGCAGTACCAGTACGTTTCCCAGCCATTTTTCTCTGACGTGAGCCTAAAGTTTCAGGGGTCGGCCTGCCGGAGCCAAACGGCTCGTGGCACCAGCCAAAAGAAGTGACATGCCGGTTCCGTTATTTTTTGGTGCGCGGGGCGTTTCCAGGCTGGGAAGGGGAAAAGGGTCAAAAGTACTGGTGGTTTGCGCGGGGCGTTTCCAGGCTGGGAAGGGGAAAACGGTTAAAAGTACTGGTGGTTGAACCTGAATAGAACGCCTGGTCATTATCACTGCATCTGGACAGAAAGTTGCCCTGAATACAGCTATAATGACTGGGCGTTCTATTCGGGTGAAGACGGTAGTGGTTTAACGCAAGAAAGGAGCTGGACATTCGTCTCATACGAAGGTCAAGTCCTGAGTCTTGATAAAATGACGATAATATGTACCCCCGTCATCCGCCCCACATTTTTTGCGCCTTTCTCCTTAGCCATTGATTTCCGTTTGATCTGGATGGTGTACAGGGAGAGTACAGGGAGGCAGGCAGCTGCAGTGACGGTGGAGGGCCTTGGTACTTGACCAGCCCCCGACCAAAAAGTGGTGACAGGATTCAAACCTATGCCTATGACCCTCTGTGTACCCAAAACAGATTTGCTACCACACTGCCCTACACGTTGTTATCTTCAATTGGTAATTCAACGCATTAGCTGCACCATGAGATCTGATTGGATTAACTGGAACTACCGCCTTCTGCCGAACACAACGCACCCTCATTTCTGTCCAGGTGCAGGTAGTCCGCATCTTCACAGACATGTCTATTTCACCGAGTCTCTCTCCGAGACAGCGCCCAGATCGTTACGCCTTTCGTGCGGGTCGGAACTTACCCGACAAGGAATTTCGCTGCCTTAGGACCGTTATAGTTACGGCCGCTGTTCACCGGGGCTTCGGTTGCTTACACAAGCGATCTTTCCAGTCTGATGCAGTCATAAAGAGGGTGCGTTGTGTTCGGGGGAAGATGGTAGTCCACAATCTCTCATTGTTCAAGGTTCTGGCCCTCAGCAGCTCTGTTGGGCCAGTTACTGCCTGGACGGGCACGTTGGTTCCATCGCTCTCTGGTGCCGTGCTGCCAAACGTGCAGGCAAGCCCAACCCCACTCACAGAGGCGTGCCTACCACCACCCGAATAGAATGTCCAGTCGTTGTTGCGGCATCTGGACTGAAAGTTGCACCAAATACAGCTATGATGACCAGGCGTCCTATTCGGTTGAAGACGGTAGCCAAGCAGTGATTGGCTCAACAGAGGGATATCAATTCAGTGTGCGGCCCAGCCAAGCAGCAAATTCTGAAAACGTGGGGTGTTGCTGTTGCGTATGGATCTGGAAAATTTCTTCATTCGTTGCCATGACAGTATGGTGACTTTATTTTTCCCTATCAATTCTTCTTGAGAGTCCTTGGAATTTATTTCCTCTTCTTTGTCCCCTTCCTTCTGCGTTATACCATCCGTCTCCTTGAAAACGTTTTTCATATTTTCATTGCTTTCCTTTATTTCCTCACCCCACACTCACTTGTGCCCATTTTGTCTTCTTGTGTTCAGTACATAATTGACCTGCAAATGAAGCATTGCTGTCAGTGCACTTATTTTGACTCATGCATGTGCTGCTGTTCCTGTTCTTCTTCTCCCCCTCCTCCTCCTCCTCCTCCTCCTCCTCCTCCTCCTTGCAGCAGTCGCGACAAAGGCAGATTTGACTTTGAGGAGTTAATACATCGTCAAAATGGAGGTCTCATTCATGTGCTGTTGTTGTGTTTCTTCTTCTTCTTCTTCTTCTTCTTCTTCTTCTTCTTCTTCTTCTTCTTCTTCTTCTTCTTCTTTCTTGCAGCCTTGGCAACGAAGGCAGATGGGACTTGGAGGAGTTAGGACATCACGGAAGAGGAGGGAGGAAGACTATATGGATCCTCAGCAGGGCCTCTGCCTCGGGTCCATCTTCGACATATCTGCCACCAATGTGCGTTTCACTGCGGGACAATGATACCCCCAAGTCATGTTCACTGTGTGTGACCATAAGCCCCTGATCTTTGTGTGACAATAAGCCAGGAGTCCTTTGGGACACCCATTCAAATTGTAACAATACTACAGAGAAGATTAGCACTGCCCAACGCAAGGATGACACACATAAATTGAGAAATGGTCTTGAACAAAAAGAAAACAACAGCAAGTCAGGAGTCGTTATATGACAACAAGCCCCGAGTCATGTTCACTAAGTGCCCTATGCACTAAACCGGTAACCTCTACACCACCACGAGTGAGAACAACAGCGATGGTGATAACACCGACCGTGACCGACGCCAACAACTGATAATAGTGTCAATGATATCGGCGAGTGTATGGCACTATATGATATAATAACTTAATAAGCCTCTCAAGTCATGCTCACTGAATGCCCCGAGCACTATATCCTCAACCCCTACACCACCATGAGCAACAATGACAACAATGATGTTGGTGATGTTGATGATGTTGAGGATGATGATCATGATGATGGCGATGATAATTGAAAATCCGGTGATGATAATTGAAAATACGGGAACGAATGTTGATGCAGGGACTGGATATGGGTCGGCGACTCTGCGTTTTTGGATTCTGCCGCTCAGTGGAGATGCTGTCTGATGTCGTCCAAGATGTTGTGTTGGAGCAAGGAGGAGAGGTAATCGCGAGAAGCCAACCTATAAGTGAAAAGTGTAGAATGCATACATACGCTAAGTGAGGGTGAAGTGGTTTTTCAAGAGTTTGCATCATGGAAAATGAAATTTCACCTTGGTCATTCTGAGGGTTGATGGTACACCCATGAACTGTTGAAAATACAGACCAAAGTTCGAGTCCATATACAATCAGATGACCAGAGTAAAATCATTCTTAATTACCTGGGGCTGGCCACTTCAATCCTGATATCTCAAGGCCGTTCGACCTTTTGGGAAAGAGAGAAGGAGGGGCAAAAAAAAAAGAGTAAGAGGGTTTATGATCGCCGCAAACTCATTCGGTCTACAGGTAGACAGGTTCTGGTACTTTCCTTCCCTTGGGAAAACCCAGGGGAAGATAGGAATGCACATCGACTGTGGCATGTTTTGTGTTCATCATGCTGATCGGGCGTGTTTTTTGTGTTGATCATGCATGCTGATCGGGCTTGTTTTTTGTGTTAATGATTCTGATCGGGCATGTTTTGTGTTAATCATGCTGATCGGGCATGTTTTGTGTTAATTATGCATGCTGATCGGGCATGTTTTTTGTGTTAATCATGCTGATCAGGCATGTTTTTTGTGTTAATCATGCTGATCGGGCATGTGTTGTGTTAATCATGCTGATCGGGTCTTAGTAGATCAATCAATCTTTGAATTCTCAACGGGGTCTGTGTGCGGACCATGTCGTCACCATGGACCCTGAAGGGACTGCAGTGGCAGACTATGAAATGGCATCTATATGTGACTATACATAGGCATTTGAAACAGCCTATATAATCTGACTATATATAGCATTGGGTCGGTGAAACAGTTTGTCACAGCCCCTCGTTTGTTGTCCTCTTCTCCCTCTCTGCCTACCGTTTACCGGGCAGCTCTGTTTGACTATATATAGCATTGAAATGGCCTATATGCGTGACTATATTTAGCATTTGAAATGGCCTATATACTATATAGTATATATGTGACTATATATAGCATTTCTTTACAATCTTTATAAGCAGCGGTAGAGGAGTTGTTGACTCCACGTCTTCGTTCCAATTTAATTCCAGTTCTTTGTTTTCAGGATTTTGGACTCCACACCCCTTCAATCCCAAATCCAGACCATGAAAGTGACTGCACTGTTTGCAGAATGTTCTGTGGTTTGGTCAAATTTGACTCAGGTTTTTTTTTTTTTTTTTTTTTTTTTCCCTTTCTTAAGAACAGTCTCCACCTACTAGAGGGGGCGGTATGAGCAGCCTCCCCTAGTAAGGTCGCTGGTTGCTCCGCTCCATTGGCGGGGAGCGTCACCTGCTAGAAAACGGGTCCAGCATCCCAATACAGAATGCACAGTACTTGACAGTAATATTGGACTTTCCGCCAGTATTGATTACCCCGAGAAAGCGGGGGATTGACTGTGTGGGGGAGGGTGTGGTTCTATGGTGCCTCTTCAGCCCTGCTACGGGGCGGCTGAAGACTACCCTGCTTTCCTAGCACCCCTGAGTCGCTGTTTGCGCTCCGCTCCATTGGTGGGGAACGTCACCTGCTAGAAAATGGGTCCAGTGTCCCAATACAGAATGCACAGTACTTGACAGTAATATTGGACGTTCCGCCAGTATTGATTACCCCAAGAAAGCAGGGGATTGACTGTGTGGGGGAGGGTGTGGTTCTTCAGCCCTGATACTGGGCGCCTGAAGACTAGCCTGCTTTCCTAGCACCCCTGAATAACTGACGCTTATAGCCTGGATGAACATACTGACATGGGCGCTTGCTGAAGATTCTCAGAAGGCATGGTAGACTGGGCTTGTCCCCTCCTCTGTCAACGGCCTAACCCCTACCTTCTACCGTAAACCCTCGCTCCCAGGTAACCTCTGGCTTACTCAAGGGGCTGTGCCAACCCAGATCTACCAGACTCCAGGGGAGAGGGGGGGAACAGGTCAAGAAAATCCGAGTGGGGTCGCAGTGGCGAAGAGGCATCCAGCTTGGTCGATCATGGAAGATGAGCAGAATTTTTGACATGCTTCACGTTTGGGATCTTGCTGAAGATTCTGAGAAGGTTTTGGAAGACTGGGCTTATTCCCTCTTCTGGCAATTGCCTAACCCCTTACCGTCTACTCTAAACCCTAGACCCTATGTAACCTCTGACTTAGTCATGGCCGTTCCAACCCAGATCTACTAGGCTCAGGGGAGAGGGGGGGAACAGGTCAGGGAAATCCGAGAGGGGTCGCATTGGCGTAGAGGCACCCGGCTTGGTCCAATCATACAAGATGAGCCGGTAGTCCCTTTTCATGTTCCCGTGGATCCTCGTTTGTCTCCCACTCCACTCCACCTTCCCTATCTTCCTCCCTCGAGGTCCCCCAAGCCAGCTGCTACTGAACTGCTGAATGATTTGGTCCATTTCAGGTTGAGAGTGGCAGAGGTCAAGCTGTGCTGTGTTTTCACCCCCTCCCATTCTGTTGTAATGTCAGTTTGGATCTGTTGCTTGATGGTCTCAGTAAATTTGGGGCACGGCCGCACTCCTTCCATTTTGTGTGTGCAGGAGTGCCCAGAAGATTCATTGTGAAATCACTGTGTTTTCACCCCTCCCATTCTGTCGGCGTGATTTAAACAGATTCATTGTGAAATCATTGGGTTGGTCGGGGTGCCAAGATTCACAGAGCAGGGCTCGCCATTCCAATTGCCATGGGTGGGGCGTGCCCAGCTGGCCCCATATCCGGTCCCACCACCGCCACAGCCAGACGGCCGCTGGGCATTGGAAAAAGATATGTTCCAAAGTCTCAAAGGACTTCCGGGTTGGAATGCAGTTTTGCAAAATTTTTTGCACCACGGCCCCGCTGTTCTAGGGAGGTTCCGTCGATAAGCCAGTCATTTCTTGGCAGGCAGTGGTGGTCCACCGGCCATTGCAGTGAGGCAAAATTTGCCGGCTTTGTCTTGATGGTGTGGAACCGCCTGATTTGTTGCAGGGCTTCCTTGCTGGTGTCAAATTGCTTCATCCAGTGGGGGCTTCCAGCAGGTCCTGGATGTTGGCCTTAGGCCTGAGCATTTGATAGGTAGCTTTTGCTAACAGGGTGTGTAGGGTACAAATGCAGAACCTACCTTGCCCCACTTGAGTCGTCCGCCAGCTCGCTGGGTCAAAGGCCAGCTGCTGGGAGATGGGGGTGTCCGGTTTCGAGGCCAGCCAGCGGTCCTCCTGCTGCATGACCCTGATTTGAAAAAGCAGCGCCCGATGGAACTAGCGTGTCTCTTCCAGTTGGAACCTGCACAGGGTTGTTGTGCCTGAGCCCAAATAGGTCCAGCAGAATTTCCCCATCTGGGTGGCTGTCCGCGTGACCGATCTTGCTAGGCTGATCTTGTATGGCCACCCATTCGCCTTCTTGGAGGGAGGGGCCCCTTCAGAGGATCCGGACCCAGTCAAGGGGGATTAACTCGATCAGCTTCTCCAGGGTGGTGGTCGGTCGATGGCAATAGCACGAGCAGGTCTTGAGGTGCGCCAGGGGGTACTAGTGTTTTGCGTCCTGGTCCCTAAGGTCCCCCACTCGGAGGACCCCCTTTTTGACCCATCCTCGCTAGGGGGGGTCCGAGCAGTGGGAGTCAACAATCCACCTGTTGTCAAAGAGGGGTTGTTGACAGACCTCTTCCCATCTTCTGGAGGGGACCTTGTCTGGGGGGGGAGCCGGCGCCATACCTTAAGGAGGATAGCCAGAAGGGATCCTTCCGCAGGCCGGCCCCTGCTGCCCAGCGCTCAAAGGTCTGTCAGCTGACCAGATTACAACATTCATGGTTGCATCGCCACAAATAGGTGGCAACTTGGCGTTGCAGGGAGCGAAGGGCAGTTCTGTCCAATGCCCAGATTGCTTATTTGTCAGTTACAGATAGGGTCTTTGCATTTGGCGGGTTGTGTGTTTGCAGTGTTGTGCAAAAATGGTTCATTCAATAAGGAAGCGCTGCTATGGGAGTGTTTTTAAGTTGAAGTTTGCTACATGCAGCAGGTGAATTCTGCACCCTAGACGGTGAAAGTCCACTAGTCGAAAGCAACACAAGTTTTAGCTCTAACCCGAGTCGCATGGGACACAGAAGTCTCCACCGCACCTCATATTGTCCTTGTCTCCACTTCAGGATTTATGTATTCTATTGTATCGTGTCGAATTGTATCGTAGGATATATATTTTTTAAACCACTGCTACCTTTCTGAGGTGGAGGTAAAAGTCGTAGATATAACCTATACATTCTTTGGAGGCCGGGTGCCACCGGATCGAAATGGCTGCTGGCACGAGCCAAAGCAAAAGAAAAAAGGTCGCGCTGGCGCTTCGGCAAAGCTTGGCTCGCAGTTCTACTCCGCATCGGCAAAAGAGGCTCGGAGGTAGTGGTGGTTTAGTTGAAACAGGTCCGTAATTACTCCTTAAGATTCTGGCTCCGAATCCATTCTGGGAAGCGTCAGTCCAGTTACTTTTCCTCCGGCAAGTCATAGAATACACCCTCGACGCACTCAAGACTCAGGCTTCCTTCCCTTAAGCCAAAGGACCCGTGATCAGCATTGATTGCTCCGCAAGGTGGAGGATTGACTGTCAGCTTGGTCATTCCTTCCGCTATTTCTCCTCTCAGACTCAGATAGAAAGTCTGTTAAATGATCTTAATTGAAACAGGTCCTTATGGTGAATGGCCGTTGGCTTAGTGGTTAGAGCACCGGTTGGAAATGCACGTTGTGGTATGAGTTTGCGGGTTCAAAACCACGTTGCCTCGCGCACATACACCGGAAAGCGCTTTCATAACGCACAAGCCATCCACACAACCCCCTTGCAACGACGCATGGTAAGATTTATACAGACACTGCCTGCGCACCGCCCAAGGGGTCTAGGTCCATGGTTGTAGTATGCTGGATAGGGCCATAGGGAGGGTTGCTTGAGTGCTTGGTCTTACGGGGCCTGAGGATCAGGGTCTTATCTTGGCTCCACCATGGGCCCAGGGGGAGGGGGAGAGGGGAGGGATAGGTCAGGGTAGATTAAAGGGGGAGGCCTTACTGCCTTGACCATCATGACCAAAAAACTGCCAACACCGGTGAAACCGTTGATACCTCTGCGTGGCCACTTGGACCCTCCGATCTGTCAGTCTCGTCAGTATGTACTAGTCCGTGTGGGTGCCATGGTCGAGTCTGGGTACAGCTAGCATGTTTCCTGTCACTATGGCACCCATGCGAGTGTCCACACAGAGCGAACTTAGACTACGGTCGGGCCCATCTCGGGGGGAACAATCCTACGCACACACTGGGTGTCAGCATGGGGTAAGTACTGGGTACTTCTCATCCCACAGGTATCTCACTATGACTGTGTCACTGTGGGTGGTGCTTGATCCAGGTTGGGATCTGTGGGAATTCTCATTGGGGGAATTAATCGGGACTCGGGACTGTGGATTCTTGGGGAGTCTGGGCTAGGAAGGCATCATGCTTAGGATAGGAGAGGGCAGGATATCGCATCTTAGTGGAAGGGCGGTTCGCTGCCCATAGAGTCTGCGGGTTGAGGCACAGATGGGGGATGACTGCATATGGATGGACCCCACCTGTGCCCTGGTCATCCTTAACATTAGAGTTATGGGAGGGTACTGTCTGCATGAAGACGTTCGGGTTAGTCTGGTAAACATTGGCGCAGATCACGACTGCAATCTGAGCATTAGCATAGGTCATGGTACCATGGTGCCATCTTGAGGTGACTTCCCCTGGTCCTCGCAATCCCTCCAACCTCCCAATGGATGAGTACTATGGGCATCTCCTGAGGCCTGGCCACCACCCTCTACTATACACCCTGGACCTTCTTAACAAGTAAAAAAAAAAAAAAAAAAAAAAGGTCCTTATGGTCCTGGGTTCGAATCCATTTTCATGGGACGTCTGAAACCTTAGCATGATGGTGGCTGTACCAAATGATCGATTGAAATTTGAAACAGGTCCTTATGGTCCTGGGGTCGAATCCATTTTCATGGGAGATTCAGTCCAGTGACTTCACCTCTGGTAAGTACACCCTTCACAGTGTTCACACACTCACGCTTCCGTCCATTTAGGCGAAGGACCCCTGATCAGCAATGATTGCTCCACAAGGTGGAGGATAGACTGTCTGCTTGCCATTCCTTCCCCTGTTTCTCCTCTCAAACTCAGTTAGAAAGCCTGTCATATTTGTCTGTTGAAAAGCTAGATGTGCCGGTGCTAGAAACTTTTTCCTGTTCTCAAGCTCATATCCGTCTTTTCTGTCTATGCTTGCCGGGGATAAGCGTCTGCACTGTTGCCCCCCAGAATAGAAGTGGTCTTTGATTTTGCACCAACAAACAGAAAGAAAGAAAAAAAAAAGCTGCATTTGCAGATGGAAAAGCTTGACGATTTAGTCCTATGCTCTCACTGTCTAGCTTCCGGTCATTGGTTCCGACTGCCCCTGAGAGGGAGCATTGAAATCGCCATCCCAAAAAGTGAAAAGAAACAACAGCGCAGAAAATGCCCTTCCCCCAAAATTTTTTGAAATGGCGAATCATTTTTTTATTTTTATTTTTTATTTTTAAAAGGGTGACGGCCTTGAGATATTATCATTGAGCTGACCGGCCCCAAGCAATT